ATATATATATATATATATATATATATATATATATATATATATGAGAGAGAGATATATATAGAGAGAGAGATATAGAGAGAGATATATAGAGAGAGAGAGATATATATATAGAGAGAGAGAGATATAGAGAGAGAGAGAGAGAGAGATATAGAGAGAGAGAGAGAGAGAGAGAGATAGAGAGAGAGAGAGAGATAGATATATATATATATATATATATATATATATATATATATATATATATATATATATATATATATATATATATATATATATATATCTATATATCACGAAAATAAACACGTGATTAAGAATGTGACAATGTCAGACCAATGTATATATTTACCTGTCAGACCAATGTATATATTTACCTCTTTATGTTATAATTACCTATGTATTATGCTTGTATGTCTGCTGTATCAGATGGGCCATTGGGCTACATCGAATGGGCCAATTGGGTGCATCTGATGGGCCAATGGGCCGTCTGCGTTGTCCAAGTATTGTACCTCACCCCACTTCACCACTCTCTCCTGCCTATTTATACCCATCACTCGCTCTGTAAAATCATTCCTTCTGAAGATGTATTTAATATACGAAAGTACTTAAGGAAATTCCTGTTTCATTTTCCTCCGTGGTCTGACATTGTCATATACATATATATATAGAGAGAGAGATAGATAGATGTGGAATACCACTCAGTGGGCACTATTGCTTGAAAGTTACATACTGTTTAGTATGTACTGTTGGTTCCTTTCAACCAATGGTGCAAACATTGGTTGAATGGTGCCCACATATTAGTTGAATGGTGCTCACATATTATCTTGATGTTTTAGGCAAGTTTCCTTTCATAGTTTCTTTTAACTGATCTGATTCCCTGTAATTACCTTAGTGTAGTTACAGGATGAGAGCTACGCTCGTGGTGTGCCATCTCCCCAGCACTCTGTCATATAATGCTTTGAAATTACTGACAGTTTTTCCTCCACCACCTTCTCACTTAACTTGTTCCAACCGTCTACCACTCTGTTTACTAAAGTGAATTTTCTTATATTTCTCCGGCAGCTTTGTTTAGTTAGTTTAAATCTATGACCTCTTGTTCTTGAAGTTCCTGGTCTCAGGAATTCTTCCCTATCAATTTTATCGATTCCCATTACTATTTTATATGTAGTGATCATTTTGGCTCTTTTTCTTCTATCTTCTAGTTTTGGCATATTTAATGCCTCTAACTTCCCCTAGTAACTCTTGTCCTTCAGTTCTGGGAGCCACTTAGTGGCATGCCGTTGCACCTTTTCCAGTTTGTTGATGTGCTTCTTAAGATATGGGCACCATACAACCACTGTATATTCCAGGTTTGGTCTAACAAAAGTCATGAACAATTTCTTTAGTATTTCTCCATCCATATATTTAAAAGCAATTCTGAAGTTGGAAAGTGTAGCATAGGCTCCTCGCACAATGTTCTTAATGTGGTCCTCAGGTGACAGTTTTCTGTCTAGAACCACCCCTAGAACCTTTTCTTTGTCAGAATTCTTTAAAAATTTCTAACATAATGTATAGGTTGTGTGGGGTCTATGTTCTCCAATTCCACAACATGGCATTTATTCACATTAAATTCCATTTGCCAAGTGTTGCTCCATATATTTATTTTGTCCAGTCTTCTTAAAGGGCATGACAATCATCTAGGTTTCTTATCTTCCCTATTATCTTAGCATCATCAGCAAACATGTTCATACTGTAATACTGTATTCCATCTGGTAGATCATTTATGTAGACAATGAACATTACCGGTGCAAGAACGAACCCTGTGGTACTCCACTTTTGACATTCCTCCCGATACATTGCCTCTGATCACTGCCCTCGTTTTTCTGTCAGTCAAGACATTTTTCATCCATGTTAGAAGCTTACCTGTCACCCCTCCAATATTTTCCAGTTTCCAGAACAACCTCTCATTGGGAACTGTCGAAAGTCTTTTTTTAGGTCCAGATAGATGCAGTCAACCCAACCATCTCTTTCCTGTAAAATCTCGGTGGTTCGATCGTAGAAATTGAGTAAGTTCGTTACACAGGATCTTCCAGATCGAAAAACCATACTGTCTGTCTGATATATCGTTTTTCTCCAGGTGTTTTACCCATTTAGTTTTAATTATTTTTCCAATATTTTGATTATGACACTTGTCAATGATACAGATCTATAATTAAGGGGGTCTTTCCTGCTGCCACTTTTGTAGATTGGAACTATGTTAGCCTTTTTCCACACATCAGCTACAACTCCTGTAAACAGGGATGCCTGAAAAATCAGTTGAAGTGAAATGCTGAGCTCAGGTGCACGTTCTCTCCGAACCCATGGTGAAACTCCATCTGGACCAACTGCTTTATTCTTACTTAGCTCCTGTGTAGCTGTTTCAGTGCTCTTTTGTATATCTCATAATCTTCATAGCCATTTCCCTACGAGGAAGGTATTTATTACTGTACAGAATGTGAGAGTAGGGTGTAGGATATTTTTGTGTTTTATGTATATTTTAGATTATATTATGTCATCATGAATATTACCAAACATTTTGCGATGCTGCACCACAAGATGGCCTCTTCATGGAATGAAATATTGTACTAAAATACACATTAATTGTGAGGTCTGTCTAAAATGCTGCATATTATTATTAAAATATAAATATTGCACCTAATATGAAATTGCTAATCAGATGGTCTCTAATTTTTATATAAAAATTATTTTTATTATTTTATTATAATGTTCACTGATTTACAGTACAGCATTTGTGAGTAGCCAAGCCTACTTTATTTAATTTATTTGTGACTTGGAAGAAATAGGAGTACAGTACTGTACTTATAATAATGTTTAGAAAGATGTTACTAAAACAAGAGTGGGGAAAAAGTGGCTTTGGGGAGTCTTTTGAAACCCACATTTTTCCTGATAACCTCAAGTTTATTTTCCGCAAATTAATATGTGTTAAGCTTTTGCAGAAAAATGTTCCTAGGGCATAGTGAAGGCTGACTAAATATGTTCCTCTAGTTAGCTAAATGAATTCAATATATGTACTGTACCCTTCCATTTTTAAGTGCACAGTTAACTTTGTGGAAAATATCAAGTGATATTCTGAAGGAAAATATATCAAGCAAATACTTTGTCATTTATGCAGGAGAGATTGTGGCAGAATTTGCTCAGCAAGACCAGGAGTACACGGTAGACTATAGTGTCCCTAGTCGAGTGACAGCAGCAGCAACTGGAGCACACAGCAATAAGCATCTGGCATCTCCTTACTCTTTACCTACATCATCTCAAAAGTCTCCAGAAGCACAACACTTGACTCGTTTTCTGTATGCAAATCAAGAGGAAGTCTTAAGAAACTATCATGATGGAAAAGCTGTGCAAGGCATACGAAATCCCGGAATTACTGAAAAATCACACATTGATTCGGATTTTGTATTTGAGGGTGAGAGGCCAGTACCAAAACCCAGGTGAGTAAAATAATGGAGAAAGATCTACTTTTAAGAACCTTGAGTATAGATAATTTTTGTCTTGAGTGTTTGCATCACTTCTGTGTAGCTGTAATGTGAGATATGAACATACTGTAATTTTGTCTTGTTTATCTATTGTATAATCAACCTAATCTGTACTTGTTACCAGGGTTAAACTTTAAAGTTGGTTGCACTGTTGTAATTGCATGTAATTTGTGTGATGCTTTGTAATTACCTAAGTGCAGTTACTACAGGATGAGAGCTACGCTCGTGGTGTCCCATCTACCCAGCACTTTGTCATATAACGCTTTGAAATTACTGACGGTTTTGGCCTCAACCACCTTCTCACCTAACTTGTTCCAAACGTCTACCACAATGTTTGCGAAAGTGAATTTTCTTGTATTTCTTTGGCATCTTTGCCTAGTTAGTTTAAATCTATGACCTCTTTTTCTTGAAGTTTTAGGTCTCTGTCATTCTTCCCTATCAATTTTATCGATTCCCTTTACTATTTTATATGTAGTGATCATTTTGCCTCTTTTTCTTCTATCTTCTAGTTTTGGCATATTTAATGCCTCTAACTTCCCCTAGTAACTCTTGTCCTTCAGTTCTGGGAGCCACTTAGTGGCATGCCGTTGCACCTTTTCCAGTTTGTTGATGTGCTTCTTAAGATATGGGCACCATACAACCGCTGCATATTCAAGCATTGGGGTAACAAAAGTTGTGAACAATTTCTTTAGTATTTCACCATTTATGTTATTAAAAGAAATTCTGAAGTAAGAAAGTGTAGCATAAGGGCTACATGATGATGTAAATGTTGTGTGATGGTTTGTGTGATGGTGCTGATGGTTTGTGTGATGGTGCTGATGGTTTGTGTGATGGTGCTGATGGTTTGTGTGATGGTGCTGATGGTTTGTGTGATGGTGCTGATGGTTTGTGTGATGGTGCTGATGGTTTGTGTGATGGTGCTGATGGTTTGTGTGATGGTGCTGATGGTTTGTGTGATGGTGCTGATGGTTTGTGTGGTGGTGCTGATGGTTTGTGTGATGGTGCTGATGGTTTGTGTGATGGTGCTGATGGTTTGTGTGATGGTGCTGATGGTTTGTGTGATGGTGCTGATGGTTTGTGTGATGGTGCTGATGGTTTGTGTGATGGTGCTGATGGTTTGTGTGGTGGTGCTGATGGTTTGTGTGATGGTGCTGATGGTTTGTGTGATGGTGCTGATGGTTTGTGTGATGGTGCTGATGGTTTGTGTGGTGGTGCTGATGGTTTGTGTGATGGTGCTGATGGTTTGTGTGATGGTGCTGATGGTTTGTGTGATGGTGCTGATGGTTTGTGTGATGGTGCTGATGGTTTGTGTGGTGGTGCTGATGGTTTGTGTGATGGTGCTGATGGTTTGTGTGATGGTGCTGATGGTTTGTGTGATGGTGCTGATGGTGCTGATGCTTTGTGATGCTGTAGTATATAAGATATGGTGAATGAATGGAATGCCTATTTGGTTTTCTTTCATGTTCTTATCATGTAAATGCTCTCCTATTTATTCTGGGCTGATGTAGCTGCATCCTAGAAAAATGGGAAACAGGATAATAATAATGATGTCACACCAGAGTGTGACAGTTATTATAATATATTTTCTTTTTGTCTTGTAGGAAACTTTCATTAGCTACAACACATGCTTCCAAGATACCTGCCAAGTCCCCTGTGCAGCTGCTCTTATCTTCAGTAGAAGACTTGACCATTTTAAGCCCACCACTGGAGATTCCACATCCTAAGAATGCGTCCAGTAAAAGTGAAAGTGTGTGGTTTGTTGAAACTCCAGAAGACTGTGTAATAATGCAGGGACGCACACTACGTCTCTCTTGCCAAGTTAATGCTAAGAAACCCATGGGTAAGAATCTGCTTTTTTATAACATTCCTGGAACATATTTTTCTGGGGGTGCCCCTTCGGCTCCCTGGAACTAACCAGGCTGATGTGAATGTATTAGACCCTGCATCAGTCAATGCACGTGGAATTCTATGCCTACCAGTGACCATAAGCCAGAACCTGGCCCCTCAGAGAGGCATGAGGAGCAGTGGCTTATAGAAACCCCCATGGGGTTGGAAGCATTCTATGTCTGCCAATGACCTGGTCAGGCACCCAGAAGGGTAAGCGCCCCAAAACAAACCCCTATTCTGCTTAAAATATTGCTACTGAAAACCAAACTCCACGGCTATCCACCCTGCAGTTCTGTGGCTGATGTGAACTGGCATGGTCATGAGCCTCTGGCTCCCGTTTTTCCAGTTCTGTGCTTCTGTGGTGTGGTGGTGTGTCTATGGTGGTGAGGGAGCCAGAAGTTATTTCACAGGTACTCAGTCTGCATGTGCCTAGGGTTCTCTTCCCTAGGTGCCCGGTAAATACTGCCCTTGTGGCTTGGGCCACTTTCCACAAGTCACCTTGGGGTCTACCTTTATAACGTCTTTTGCTGCTCGGTGATAGACCTGCCCTTTTGAGTTGGCAGGAGTGTTTCATGCACCCGTTTGCCTTTGGGTCGGGGTAGTTTCGTCTCTCGTTGGGACGCAGGGTACTGTGCAGCTAGTTTTTACCTCTCATAGCGGCCGGCTCTGTTCTGCCTGGGCACGTTGTCCTCTTGTGGGTTTTTTTTTTTTTTTTTTTGTTTCTTGCCTGGTGGGGTGTTTGCCCTTTGGTTTTGGTCGCACCCAATTATATCTTGGTGGTCCTCCACCAGGCCCCCATAAGTGTACACATCCCGGGGGGGTTCAGCTTTAGCAGTTTGATTGGTAACTTTGGGTCCCGGTTAACCATTAAACCACGCAAATCATATATATATGATATCAGTGACAAAACCGAAACAGCGCACATCATATATATATGATTTCATGTCTAGCGCTATAATTTAAACGCCCTGCCTGGGATAGGGGCAGCTATAGTACAGCCACGACTGATAGTTGCCAGATGCCACCTAGAAATAAATCCAGGCCAACATTCTTGGGTGTTAGAGCGTCAGTATTGAGCAAGCCACCAAGGCTGGCACACGCAGCACGAGCTCACAGCACCGCTGTTGAGCTTGTGACCACAGCATCGCCTACAAATGCCATAATATATGATACTGCTATTATTTAGTAGTGATAGTATTACTGAAGCCCCCTGACTGTGATAAAACTGACCAGGATTCTGATAATAGCAGGATTGTGGTGATATTTAGCGCTGTGCTCCATGGAGGGAGGAGTAAGGCTGTGGAGAGAGGGTGGTGGTGTCGTCTTCTGACTGTGTGTGGCCACCATTTATTGACTGCACTCACCATACCAGCTTAGTGGTTCGCTATGGTGAACACAAATGTAGATACTTATATATAACGTGTGTATAGAGTGAGATAACAGTGAGAGGAGTAGGTTGGGAGCCGTCATTTTGGCAAGGGAGGAGCGTCGTCTGCACGACTTGGCATGTTGTTTACTGATGACCACTATGGTCTTTGGGCACCATACCAGCTTATTTGTACAGGTATGGTGAATAAAACAGGTAGATACTTACATATAATGTGTGTATATAGCGTAATAACACCACAAACAATATTGTTGGAGGAGAAATATTAGTGCATCTGGCCTTGAGGGCGGCCGCCGATCAGCTGACTGTGTGATTAGCTACGTCTTTGTGCCTTTACTCACCATACAAGCTTAGATGTACAGTTATGGTGAACAAAACATGTAAATACGTATATATAACGTCTGTGTATAGTGAATAAATGCAAAAACAGTATTGTGGGAGGAGAATGAGGGTGAGTGAGATGGTGTTGAGGGAGGGAGTGGCAGTGAGTGGCTCGCTAGTGTTTGGCGGTCACTCCTCGTTGCTTTTTGACTCACAAGACCAACTTAGTAGTTCATTATGGTGAACAAAACATGCAGATACTTATATATAACCTGTGTATATAGCGTAACAACAGCAAAACTATTTGTTTATTGTTTTATAAACATAATAATTGAATCACTAATATGCACACCATAATTTTGAGAACAGCGATGGTTCACACATTTTATTATATAAATATATCACAATTCACTGTATGGAATAATATTACTGCAAAAAAACTAAGAAAAAAGTAGAGACATTGAAATAATTAGGTAATAATATATTTGTGGCAACTGCCGTCTGACAGCTTGGGCGGAGTAGACCTCATATGGCGAAGGCTCTGCCAACGCCCCTTTATTGCCACACTTCCCTTTCCTATTGCGGCTAAAATATGCCACCTACGATTTTTTTTGTTATTTTTTCCGTGATCAGGGAACAAAAATGAACACTTCTATAAGACGAAAGAATTTTTTTTTTTTTTTTTGCACCTGTGGGTGTGAATTCCATTTGGGCCCCTAGCGGTTTGAGGGTTAACAGTACCCTGCCTGGGCTTTCTTTAGGGAGATAACGTGACTAAGGGCCCTGGGAAACTCTGCAGGGGCTCTTTGGTCCGATGGATGCAACCCCCTGAGTCCCCTCTCACTTCATGCGAGTTTGAAGGTTGCTTTGTCACCTTGTCTCAGGGTGACAATCACCGATTGTGCCTCAGACAATGCCAACAGACATTGGTTGACAATAGAGGGGTAAGGTAGGTTACAGGGAATTTATTAGATAGTGCTTTGTTTTTATCTTAAACTGGTTGAGAGAGGTACAGTCTTTAACATGGTTGGGAAGGTCATTCCACATTCTGGGTCCCTTGATTTGTAGAGCATTTCTAGTTTGATTAAGTCGTACTCTTGGAATATCAAAACTGAATTTATTTCTGGTGTGGTGCTCATGGGATCTGTTACAACCTTCAATGAAGCTTTTGAGGTCAGGATTGGCATTACAGTTCAGTGTTTTATATATGTATAATACACATGAGAGAATGTGCAGTGACTTAACACTTTTGTGCACCCCGCGTGCCACCCCTCAACTATACGATTTGGGTCCCAGCGTTTCACGGGAGCGCGCGTTAATTCCGAAAAGTGTATACTCTCTTCAACTTTGTCACCTCAATTCTCGTTCTACGAGATTAAATTTGGTATCATTGTGTTCACAATAGAATTCTCTACAGCACTAAATGCATATAAACTCCAAAAGCCTGGCTAATTACCCGCAGCAAACAGAGAAAGTGCGAACGAGTTACCCAGGAGCGCGCAAACGCGATAAAATGTTTTCACTATTTTCACTCTGGTCATCTCAATCTCAATTTTCGTGTTACAGTGCTCATTTAGGTCTGAAAATGTTCCTAATAGAATTCTTTAAATGGATATGTGCATATAAGGGCCAAGTGAAGAACAACATTGCCTGTACAATACAGGAAAGTATGAAAAAAAACAAAAAAAAATAATACAATTTTTGGTACTTACTACCTCAGTGTTGTGTGTTGAACATGACATGGGTTGAACATTTGTTTTATCCACTCCACTTGCTCCTGGAAAACGTTTCCTGCAGGGTCAACCCATGTTTTGTATAGGTGGAGGGGATGGTGGGCAAGCATTACTGCTTATTGGCCCAGAATTTTTTCTTTCGATGGTATCTGCTGTAGCGTGGTGCAGGACACAATACCACATCACACGTCTTGCACTTATAGTGTGTGTCCTTCTTTTTACCCTACAATTTGCACACACGACACCTCAGACGCTTCTGTATCTTTACTTGGGTATGGGACAAGTTTCTGCTGAGGTGGTCTGGATTATCTACAATACGGGGTCTTGTTGCAACAGAAGCACCACTAGTGATAATCACAGCCTCGTCTTCTGACTCAGACGATGAAGGTAAGTCTGCAGGTACAGGTGAAGTGAATAATGGGCGCCTCACACCTGAAGATCCTGCTGTTGGAGGTCTGGGTGTTGATGGTCCTGGTGTTGCAACATTGGCTCCACTGGCATTGACATCAGCAGCATGTGGGATGTCATCATCTTCCTCAGGCCAGTTACTAAACTTATAGAACAATAGTGCAGCAATGACTTGTTCATGGAAATGGAGTAATGTCAGTTTCCTTCTATCTGTTGTGTAGTAGTTGTACATCACAAAAGCATTGTAGATAGCCATTTGCACAAAATAGAAGGTCATTTTCTTCGTCCATTTGTGAGTTTTCCTTGTGAAGTGATAATATTTGATCATTTGGTCAAAGTGATCAACACCTTTCATGTTTGTATTGTAGTCACAGATTGCATTCGGCTTGTTGACAGTTACCTCCATCAGGTTGTTCCATCACGATTCCGTACTCGTTTTCTGCGTTGAACCTGTTGTGTTTCTGCATTGTGGCAATTTGTTATGAGTGAAACAATTCGTTTATCTTTCCACAAAATTATGAAAGTATTGTCCTTGCGTTTGAATAAAGTTTTATCTACTGCCACTTTACCCTTTGCTTGCATCTGAAGGGATTTAGGTGCACCACGCTGCAGTTTGAGGGTACCACAGGTGTATACCCCTACTTGAAGCAGTGCCTCACTCAATCTGACCGAATTGTAATAATTGTCCATATATAAATGGTAACCTTTATCCTTCAGTGGTTCAATCAAGGCCATAACTGTGTCAATCGTCGTTTTCCCAACTCCTGAATAAATTTCAAAATCATAAATGTAGCCACTGTTGGCTTCAGCTAGCATGTAGAGCTTTATTCCGTATTTATCTGGTTTATTGGGATTATAGGTCTTGAAAGATAGACGGCCACGCCATGGCATTGTCCCTTCATCCAAACTCAAATTTTTATTGGGAATGTATATTCTCTTGAATCTATTTAGGAGATATTGCATGAGTGAGCGAACTTTGATAAGTTTGTCAACTCCTTGGCCTTGTGGTATGGACTTATTGTTATAAACATGAAAATATCTAGCAATCGTTTCAAATCGTTTACCAGTCATAAAGGTGTTGAAACAAGGTATGTGCCAGAATCT